ATTTCCCATGATTTCTCTCGAAAGCTCATATCTGTTAAATAGCAAGGTAGCAGTGGATAATGTTCTTAGGAACTTAAGAATTGTCAAGAACCTGCCTAGACGTTGGAGCAAAATTCAAATTGATGAGACAATTCTTCGAAGATTGGTGCAAAGGGCGGTAAAAAAAAATTCAATGACCATAAAGCCTACCTGAAACAATCTAAGATAACTGCTTCATCACGTGCCAGGGCCGGCGCATACAACCTCTTGACTATCAACAGGGGGAAAGGAGCTTGAATAAGGGCCCTGGCAGTAATTTGTGACCTCACTATCTTATCAGCATTTGCATTTGTTCTACCCCCCCCGCGCGCACGCGCGCACACACACACACACACACACACACACACATATATATATATATATATATATATATATATATATATATATATAGATAGATAGATAGATAGATATGTGGTTCAGTTCAATTTATATTATATGAATCATTCCTACAAAAAGTAGATTGGTAAAGTTAATGATATAAATGGCGAAAAACAGCTTCGCAAACAAAATTTTAAAGTTGCATTAACCTACGAACCACTCGATGAATTTTATGATCCTTGTTTTTAATAATTATAAGTTATATAAGGTCTTTTTTTAATCTGCTAGTACTTTCAACTGTACATACAGTCATCCTCAGGCATGGAAATTATTTTGTTTTTAGTACAATCCAGGTAGCATCAGAGACGAAAGATTAAATGCGAATCGAAATATGTTTTTTTTTAAAAATGCATTATTGTTAACGGATAAAAAAATTCTTAAATTACCATATTAGTAAAAAACTTAAACTTAAAACTTAAATTTTGACAAAAAAAAATTCAACCTTAGTGTTGCAACTGCACGCTCCATAAGTTCTTATCCGTTAACAATAACACATTTTCTAAAAAAATAAAAAACATATTTCGATTCGTATTTAATCTTTTGCAGCTCTCAACAAATTCCTTCCTTCTGTTTTCTCCCCCAGGCCCCGTTCTGTCACCCACTTGCTTAAACCCGCCAGGTAAGTCACGCGTTGTTTTCCCTCGTCTATCTTTCCCTCTATTCAGCCCATGAGTATCAGATTCTCCAGGACATTATGTGTCCCAGAAACTTCAGTTGCCTGTTCCTAATAGTAAGGATATTAAGTATAAGCCTCCTCCTTGTTTGCAACTTGTGCAAGAAAGCCTCCTCCTTGTTTGCAACTTGTGCAAGAAAGCCTCCTCCTTGTTTGCAACTTGTGTAAGAAAGCCTACTCCTTGTTTGCAACTTGTGCAAGAAAGCCTCCTCCTTGTTTGCAACTTGTGTAAGAAAGCCTCCTCCTTGTTTGCAACTTGTGCAAGAAAGCCTCCTCCTTGTTTGCAACTTGTAAGAAAGCTCCTTGTTTGCAACTTGCAAGAAAAGCCTCCTCCTTGTTTGCAACTTGTGCAAGAAAGCCTCCTCCTTGTTTGCAACTTGCCTCCTCCTCCTTGTTTGCAACTTGTGCAAGAAAGCCTCCTCCTTGTTTGCAACTTGTGTAAGAAAGCCTCCTCCTTGTTTTGCAACTTTGCAACCTCCTCCTGTTTGCAACTTGTAAAAAGCCTCCTCCTTGTTTGCAACTTGTGCAAGAAAGCCTCCTCCTTGTTTGCAACTTGTGTAAGAAAGCCTCCTCCTTGTTTGCAACTTGTGTAAGAAAGCCTCCTCCTTGTTTGCAACTTGTGCAAGAAAGCCTCCTCCTTGTTTGCAACTTGTGTAATGAAATAGATGGACTAACAGAGAGCAAAAGAAGACGAACAAGAAGTTAAGATTCGTTATAAGAAAACGAGGACGAACAAGGAGTTAAGTTTCATTATAAGGAAAATAGGACGAACAAGGAGTTAAGTTTCATTACAACAATTTGATTCTATCCAGCAACATGGATTTCATCGTTCGGCGCGATATGAAATCAGGAAAGGCGGTAGAATTTGGCATTGGTAATGACTTTAATAGATTCATCTGATTCTTCTATGCGATGTGTTCTGACAAAATAGGCAGTATTAGACCATTGTTGCAGAGATAGGGATCCAAGCATTTGAGAACAAGTGCATGAGAAAAATCCTTGGCATTTTCTATTGGGAACAAAAAACCAATGTGCTTGTGCGGAAAAGGGTTGGAAATGTTGTGGGACACCAAGAAACTCTTCTCGCCACTCTCAAACGGAGAAAAATGACGTGGCTTGAACATATTAAAAGGCACGACAGCCTGTGCAACACCACCATGGGAGGTACCGTTGAAAATGGACGCAGGAGAGGACGCCATCTCTAAAAATGGTTGGACAATGGCAGAGAATGGACAGGTATGACTGTACCAGAATTGCTGATGTCTACCGTTGATAGACCATTGTGGAAAAGAGTTAGTGCCGCTTTTACATTCGGATCCGCCCTATGAATACAAAAATCAAGGGGATGATGATTCTATCTATCTATCTATCTATCTATCTATCTATCTATCTATCTATCTATCTATTTAATTACAAGGCACGACAGCCTGTGCAAGACCATCATGCAAGGCACCATTGAAGATGGACGTAAGAGAGGACACCGACGCATAAACTTGTTGGACAATGTCAGAGATAGGACAGGTAGGACTGTGCCAGACCTGCTGATGGCTGCTGTTGATAGACTGTTCGAGAAAACAATAATAATCTTATATTTATAAGATTATTATTGTTTTCTCGTCTGGAAGAAACCTTAGGTGTTTTGGCTTGTAAATAAGCACAACCAATACCCAAGGAAAAATAAGGAATAAAAAAAGTAAGAACTGAGAACATGTAATTCAAGCGAAAAACAATCGTCCAGAATCCAAGCTCAGAGCCCAAAGAAAAAAAACCTTCAAAACGAGTAAAGCAAAAGTAACTAATTAAAGTACTCAATATACTAAGTAGAGCAAATCTAACTATGAACCTAAAGAGCCAGGTAAACCTACCTTCGTTTCACCTACGCAGATCCTCAGCGCCAGCGTAACCTGACGATCCGCGTAGGTGTAACCTAAATGGTAGGTTTTCCTGGCTCTTTCGGTTCATAGTTATATATATATATATATATATAGCCTGTGCAAGACCATTATGCAAGGTACTGTTGAGGATGGACGCCAATGCAAAAACTGGCTGGACAATGTCAAACACTGGACAGGTATGACTGTACCAGAATTTCTGATGGCGGCCGTTGAAAGATCGTTCTGGAAAAGAGTTAATATGGCTTCTGCATTTGGATCCGCCCTACGATTACAAAAGCCAAGAGGGATGAAGATTCTATCTATCTATCTATATATATATATATATATATATATATATATATATGTATATACATATAAATATAGATAACTAGACTCGTTTCGAAAAACCCTCGAATTTTTGATTTGCTAATCAAATCAATCACGAGGGAAAAAAAGGTTTTAAAAAAAGAAAGAGCTACAAACATGAACTTCTGCCGACAAAAAATCGCACAGATGCAGGTCTGAAGCCCAAAGAAAAAAAACCAATATGAGTAAACAACTAACAAAAGAGCTCAATACAATCGTAGAGCAGACCTAGATACACCTAGTGAGCCAGACAAACCTACCTAGGTTTCACCTAAACGGATCGTCAGGGGAAGTCAAGCTTGACTTTCCCTGACGATCCGTTTAAAACGTAAAGGTTTGTCTGGCTCACTAGGTATATATATATATATATATATATATATATATATATATATATATATATATATATATATTTACAAGGCACGACAGCCTGTGAAAGACAATCATGCAAAGTACCGTTGAAGATGGACGTAGGAGAGGACGCCAACACAAAAAATGGTTAGACAACGTCAAACAATGGACAGATATGACTGTACCAGAATTGCTGATGGCTTCCGTTGATAGACCGTTGTGAAAAAGAGTTAGTGTCGCTTCTACATTCGGATCCCCCCGCTACGAATACAAAAGTCATGGGGATGATGATGTTGATGATGGGTTTCATCGTTCGGGGCGATATGATATCAGGAAAGGCGGCAGAATTTGGCATTAGTAATGACTTTAATGGATTCATCGGATTTTTCTATGCGATATGTCCTGACCAAATATGCAGTATAAGACTCGACGTTGCGTCTAATTACAATCGAACTTGTCTGCGAGATTATCTGGCCATATGTGTCTTGTTTATTAATAAGTTTCTCATTATTTGTTATTCATAGAATTTGGAAGAATTACGTTATGAAAATTAACTCTATTTTCCAGTTTGGTAACGGAATATTGATTATAGTTGAATGATATACTGTTCTTTTTATTTGTAATTACTATAGTTCAATTAATAGTATAAAATTTAGAGGGACGTTGTTCGAATTGAGGAATCACAGTCGAATTCATTACATTCACGTGCTAGACCATTGAGAAAGGCATGAACCCATCTCTTCTCCTCTTAGCTATGTGTGGAAACCGGTCTAAGAGAAGGATAAACTAAAAGCCACCATCGTTCAGCAGCCGTGCGGACCTAGAACAGTACTTGAATCGACAATGATAATTAATTAGTAATGAGCATGACATTATAACAATGTCGTCATAAAACGTTGACAAAACTTACTGGCAACGTTTAGCGAGTTTAGTCGAGAATAAAAGAAAATATATTTTCTAAGCAGACCAAAATGGATTATTTTTTTGATGATGCTTTTATAAAATTTCATAGATCAGAAAGATTCCTGGGCGTGTTGCGTTCTGAGTCATTTTGGGGGTTCCGATGCTACTGCATAAAATGGAATCAACGAAAAGGACGATGTCTTTTTCTTATTCGTTTTATTAGGAGAGTGAGGTGGCAGCTTGGATTATAAGAGGCAGCGGAAGAAATGATGTCACGGGAACGCATGTTGAATGTTGTCTTAGCGTCCTTCCTTAGATGGTCTTAACCGGTCTCACTAACCTAGGTATGGGAGGCTTAACGACTCTTCAGGATTCTTGAGGAATTATCGACGTTTTGGACTTATCTATAAAACCCAGAC